CSWYAGGTTGCCTGACGTTTAGACACTTTRTCTATTTYAATTCTACGAATATTAAACTATTTTTAGTGAATCAGCTGYCTTGGACTGTGAGAAGACAAATTGAAAAAGCCCGACACACTGTCAACTGAAGCTCAGTTGTGCCTAGTAGGAATCTGAAAACCATTGAATAGACAAGTCAGCTTCCTATTTATCTTCAGAAGTTGTTTTTTTATTTATCAAGAACAGGTTTCAGYTGGACAATGAATACAACTTGTAACTTTAGTCTTGGGCATGCACTCGATCGAAAAGCAAGACTTTTGGCGATATYGCTTTTTGGCGGGTTTGGCATCTTTTCCAACATCTTCGTCATTATCCTTGCTGTTAAATACATCCCAAGAAAGAATATTCATGATTGGATCATCAACATGGCTATTGCAGAYTGTATGCTGTCTTTTGTAGTAATATTTCGAGAAATTAACAATCTGTGGGATCTAAAGGAACTGAACCATAGATATGTAGAGTTTTGTTGTTATTTTTTGATGTCGTTAATACCAATTCTAACAATGGTATCGCTGATATCGATGTTGATAATAAGCATCGAGAGATATAGAGCAACGCGGTCATCTTTGAGAAGAATTCAAGCGTACACTTTGCAGCGASGTGCTCTGGTTTTGCTCTCAAGTTGGATGTTTTCAGGACTCTTTTCGGTTTATAATCCACTACAATATCAAGTGAAGGAAGATAAAAAATGTGTTGCATTTCCCTCGATCGCACTTTCTGTTTGGGCTGCTGCCGAGGATTGCTTTTTCTTTTTTTCTCTGTTCGCCTTGGTCTTGTTAAATTGTCTAACGTTACATAGACTTACGAAAACACAACCTATTCACCAAAGTATGCCGGAACAACAGAGACAACAGCGGAAACAGCGAATTGYTCAAGTTGTAAGAATGGTTCTTTGYTCTTTAGTGGTTTACTCTCTCTGTTACATTCCACYTCGTTTATGGAACTCCTTGATGACTTTGAAGGATTTTAATGCATTTGAATTCCCAGATAGGATTGATGGGGAATGCATAGACTATATGCCTCTGTTTTTCATTGTTTTCAATTTCTTCCCTTCTTTAAATTCATGTATAAGTCCATATATTTACATTGCATGTCTTCCTGACTTTCGCAAAGCAGCCAACAAGCTCCTTTGTAAGACTCGTGCACAGCAAGATCGTGAAATGGGAAACATGCAAGATGGAATTCCCAGTCCAGTGGAATTAGAACTTCGTACACAAGATCGGCAATGAACCAAGTGACATCGCGCGATGATAATAACCATATTTAAAACTTATGTCACTAGTAAGACACTCATGAAAATAACAGATTTGCATGTTGATGGCTGCGTTAATAATAACTGCTATAATGAAATCCATTTTAATCAGTATTCTTTGTCGTCAATGGCTGTCATTTAAAACTATGCACATTCATGAATACCTGTTCATAAAAAAACGTATCTCAAAGTGCCGTTCTCAGTTGTGTATACAACCTTGTCGAACAGTATCATTTCTAACTTTTTCCACTTCTCTTTACCTTGGTTCCAGAGGTTTTATTTTCTTTTATAGATGGTTTTTAGTATTTATCGTATTTTTGTCTTTGCTTTTTAAATTTAACGACGCAAGAAGAAAACCTCTGGTCGGGACCGTTGCAAGAATCTCAAAAAACAAAACAAAACAACAACAACAAAACACACACAAAAACGATAAATACTAAAAAAACATCTTTAAAAAGAAGAGAAAACCCCTAGAAGCAGAGTAATTTCTTTTGTTTTATTACTTGAAATTATCGTTGTTCTATCCATTTTTTTCTAATCGATTTCCTGACGTTTAGTCATAGGCCGCCCAACTAATGCATTAGAGACAGAAAAGAACGAATGCGCGCACGCTTTAAAAATGTATTTATATATCGGCGCGTGCTCTTAGAAAAATTCGGGTTACCTGTGGTGTTACGTCACGATCTCGCGCCTCGCGGGACTTAAAGATGTACTCGCGAGGCGCGGGATCGTGACGTAACAACACAGGTAACCCGAATTTTTCTAAGAGCACGCGCCGATATATAAATACATTTTTAAAGCGTGCGCATTCGTTCTTTTCTGTCTCTAATGCATTAGTTGGGCGGCCTATGGTTTAGTCAGGTCAAGCTGCTTTGACACTCGGTATTTTTTTAATTCAGTGACCGTTAGTGACCGTTATTTTAGAGTTTGTGTTGAGATTCCTGGTACAAGAATGGTTGCGTTAGCTGGAGAAAAACTCCCGCAGCATGGGAAGGTGTATTGCTAAAAAAAAAATCACACTTAAACCAAAAGTAAATTGCGAAGAAAGATATTCATGTTTTTTTAAATATAAAATGCTCATGCCCCTTAGCGAGGAAAAAAAATAATCTATTTACATAGTACAATAGTACACACAACGAAAACTGAGCTTTAGATATCATTAAAAAGGATAAACTGTTGAAGTTATACAACTAGTTTTAGAGAGAATATAGAAACTTAGCTGAAATCTGATTTCAGTTTTCGATTCAATTTTATGGCCTTTGAGAGTACAGACTGATTCCATAAGTCGCAGTTTTTGCTCTTAGGATTTCAATTTTTTTTCAGTTTGTCAGTGACGGATCAAGGGGTAGTGCGACGGGGTCCGCTGCAACCATTCTTTTTTTTTTTCAGCGCCACTTTTTTTTAAATCAGTAAGGTTTAAATTTTTGAATATAAAGAAAAATATAATTTTTAAATTTTGATTAAAAAGATTACAGAAGTTTTAGGTTGTATACTGTTGTTATAGCTTGTTTTTGGCGTCGTACTGGTACTTTGCAAAGCTCAAGTATTCCAACCAGTTCGAGCCATCACCATTCACCGACCAACTGGATGGACTACCTGTGTTGAAATGCAGCACGCATGCGTAGTCTAAGTACGGTCTTGTCAGAAGGTGACATCATATGACGTCAATATGACGTCATAGCAATCTATTTCCTGATCTGGACCCGTTTTGAAAAACCCTGGATCCGCCATTGTTTGTCCCTCAAACTAGCCAAAGTGAGCGAGAAACAACTAAAACCGAGAGAAAACTAGGACCGACTTATGGAATTAGTCTAAATGATGTACGAARAAGGTTGAATGAACGAATACGAATCTAGTTAGACGTAATACTACCGTAAAAATGTTGAATGACTGGTGTCTAGTAGACGAAGGGTACGATTCTGTAGGGAACTCTTCGGCAATACTCGTCAAAACTTTTCCCGTATTTTTTTTGACATAGAACATCGTCTCTGCGTTGACGGTGAACAAGAAGAACTATCAGTTGGACTGCGTAAAACCATGGKATTAWATGAGTAAAACCTGGAAAAGAAGGAATATTKCAYTAGTGRRTAGASGGAAATAYTKTATGRATGAAAAAATGTTGACTTTTAAGGTCTGAGTCTCCTCTTGCAGGCGTTACGAGGCTCGTTCCCAGGTCACGTTAAGACTGCSAATGGAGACTTTTGAAGTCTGGGATTTCCTGGATTTTRTGGAATATTGGAATGTAAATTAGCCATACATYCTTCCAGCGGGCAAACTACATCAAATTTGGATATTTTAGAAGTTTTACAATAGACTTTTACGGTTTTCGTTGAAAGAGTAAATAAATACATTATCAAATGTCTGAGTTTTTKGCCGAAAWGGAAAATGTATCAAAGGTGTMAAATYACAGGCGAAAGCCATCTCGCCACTTTTGTGCACAGGAAATTCAGAAAAAGAAAACYGAAGATGTATTCCAAGACCGAAATGCATTATTGGTCGTTCTATCGCCGTTTGAAAGGGGTTTTCGTGCTTTCAGACTGACTATACCAAGTCTGTTACGTTAAGAACTTCATTATAAACTTCATTACAATGTTTAGAGCTATTACTTAGTAACGCCGCAAATAACGTGTACAGTTTACTGGCATCAATGCAATGCGGTCTTGGAATGCAATATRCAGTATACAGTATTCAACATCTTCTGAATAGCTGAATAGTGCAAAACAATTTTATTGCTATCGCATATTATAACTGGTATTCTCTTATAAGATAATCCTTATTTTGGTCATGCGCTCTCGTGSAATATTTTGAAAGAATAACGGAATTCAAATGTTGCAATGTTTTACAACGTACCACAAGGTAGAGTCCAGGATATTGCCATYAGGATGTCCCCAAGGTAGTTAGGGTGACGAACCATCTTCCACCATCCAAACACCATCAGCCGCTTTCCACTTGGAGTGAGTATGGTTTCTTGATCTGATATTTTATATAGATAAGACAAAGTACACATCAATCAAGTAATCAATCAAAAATGCCAGAAATAAAATCTATCAATGAATAAAAACAACGAAAGAATAAGAAACAAGGATTTCATGAATGATCTTCCTCTTTCTCATGGAAGTAAAAGTTTTTTCGGGTGTTTTGCAAGATTTTTAAATCAATCAATCAATCAATCAATCGCTGAATCTATAAAGGCTGATTTACACGGTACGATTTTCGCGTACGACTTGTAGTATACGATTTTCCTACTACAAGTCGTAGGATTTTAAGCAGTGGTTCAAAATCCTACTACAAGTCGTAGGTTGCGTACGACTGTTGTAGACAAGTCGTAGGGGCATTTACACTGCGCGATTCAAGTCGTATACTACAAATCGCAAGAGACAATCGTGCCGTGTAAATCAGCCTTTAGTTGAACAGCTAATCAATCAGTCAATAGCCTAAAAATCTGCAATCAATCAATCAATCAATCGCTGAATCTATAAAGGCTGATTTACACGGTACGATTTTCGCGTACGACTTGTAGTATACGATTTTCCTACTACAAGTCGTAGGATTTTAAGCAGTGGTTCAAAATCCTACTACAAGTCGTAGGTTGCGTACGACTGTTGTAGACAAGTCGTAGGGGCATTTACACTGCGCGATTCAAGTCGTATACTACAAATCGCAAGAGACAATCGTGCCGTGTAAATCAGCCTTTAGTTGAACAGCTAATCAATCAGTCAATAGCCTAAAAATCTGCATTTATCAATCAAATCACTCATTTAATCAATCAATCAATCCATCAATCAGTCCGTCTATCAATCCACAATCAAACAATCAGTCGGTAATATAAACTATTCATTCAATCGATCAGCCAATCAATAAAATCTACCTTGGAAGTCAGRGTCATTTGGCTGTTGCCTGAAGAAATCTTTCTGCAGGTTGGAACCACGAAAGATGATGTATCCAACAACTATAAGTGCAATGAGAAAACCAAGATTTCAAGTCAGTATAATCAAAACCTGTTTTGTTAAAGTAAGAAACTAAGTGTGTTAAGGAGACTAACCATTTGCGGGCTTTTTCGTCYGTTTTGTGTTAATAATGGTGTAGCAAACAAGTGGCATGAATCTGCCACGTTAATTTATACGGCTATTTCAAAAAGCAATGTCCCAGCCGAAGCATCGCGGGATTTCCACACGTAATTAACTTGTTTGTCTTCTTGGTTCTGACTGGTGTTGTGCATAGCTTTATAGCAAGCTGTAATACCAAAACTTTTGAATGGAACATGAAATTTATTACGCATAGAAATCTCCAGAATCTTTGCAGGCTCAAGACTGCGTAGACTCTGCGGCAACGTTTTTTGAAATAGGCGAAAAGGCTTCTTAACAGGGCAGCCCTTCATGGTTTTGCAAGATCTTGTCCGATTCGTTTACTTGCAATTTGTTGAATAAAATGTTTTATTCCTCTAATCAAAAGAAACCTTACAAATTCGTGAAGGAAAACAGTCTCATAACAACGTGGTTCACTGAATGAAATTTAGTTCGAAGGAATTTACGCAACGAGCCTGTCACTCAAAACGTAAAGAAGGCACCACAATAGGAGTTTCCATCTGAAGTATGTGCGACTAACAGTCCAAGTCAACGGAAACTCACAAACATTTCGWATCACTTAGTTTTTCTAGTTTGAAATAAATAACCTGAAAGATACTTCAGAGTAAACCCGGAACAAATTTTTATTATGCTAAGTAAAAACATAAAATCACACAAAATGTGGAAGTGCTAACACTTGAATAAGACTGTATCAGTCCTATTTCTGGGTTTACCGAATATCTAAAATTCAKTATAATTTACTTCTTACTTTTTAAAGCAACGATTGCTACAATGAACGGCAAAGCGATGTGGACTTCATGATCAGCTAAAAATCTAGCTTGYAGAGAGAACAAGAAGGGAACGTAGCTTAGATTASCAAATGCTAACATGAAACCAAAACCATCGTGGGTAAAATCCATTTGTGACAGCATGGATGACTGAAAAATAAGAACGAAACTAAATCAGTCTAAGCCCGAGTGACATCATGGAGATGATGGTGACTTTGTCAAAGACTCCGTGTGACCTCCAAAACTCTGCAAAAAGGTAATGCAATCAAGGGCGTCAGAAAAGATGGAAAATGCGATTGTTATTTTGTCTGAGGCTGAGCAAGACTACACGAAAACAACAACAACATATTTCTAAACAAACATTTTCTTTGCTTTCTAGACGCTTTGAAAAGCAGTCAAAAATATAATTTGTTACTGCCACTTGTGATGTTTTTGGCGAATTAATAAGTAGAAAGAATAAATCGTTTTCATTGCATGCAATAGATTTTTCTTTAAWTCCTGAGTTGAAGAACAATTTTTTTCTCACGGGTTTGAATATAATGGACAGTGCAAAAGAAAGTGCTTCTCTCAAGATGAGGAACGCTTGTCTGGCTTCCCTACGCCCTTTGCCACACACATATTTGCTTGCTTTTTGGCCACTGCTATAAACCCAGTCCTGTTTTTATTTTTACTGACCTCAAAAATCATACAGTCTAATACATAGATGAACTGGAAGCAACACACCATCATCATTGCAGGAGATATTTTATGCATTGTTTCATAYTGATGACTTGCCATACAAAAATTGATAACCATCTGAAATAGAATAATATTTTTGCATGTTATACTGACTAAATAAGATCATAGAGAATAACGTTAAAGAATTATTACATGGGAGCGCGGAGATACGGATTTTATCTTCGAGTGTTGAAAAGATCTCTCACGAGCAAACGTAGCAATATGAAAGCAAGTTTTACGGTAAAATACATTTTATCATATAATTATCTATGAAATACTTCATTTCTCCATTTTGTAAAATTGATGTTTTTACTAGTGAAAATAACACATTCGAGGTTTCTCTATATAGTGGAAGTGAGAAAAAAAGGTATTTTACGAGGACATAATTTGCTTTCATATGTAATTATATGATAAACAGAATATTACATGGTCGCTTGGAGATACGAACTTTATCTTCTCGTGTTGAAAATCTCTTCAAGATCTTTTCAACACTCGAAGATAAAATCCGTATGTCCGCGCGCCCATGTAATATCCTCTATATTTACCCCAAATATATGATATGCCACATAAATAAAGTTATTTTTATTGTTGAACATGACAAGTTTTCGAAAGTGAGAAATATGAGTATTTCATAGATAATAGTACATGAGATAAGCTAACTAAACGTCTCTTCACAGCATAATCTATGATATCGTAAATATCGCGAAGAAACTTTATTCTTCCTATCTTTTTTACTTCTAAAAAAGGCATATGACATCATTAAGCCGCGGCTACACGAGCGATTTTTCACTTGCGCAAGCGACGCGATTTTCGGGTACGATGAAAGCTGTACATCGAATTTGAGCTGTTTTTGGACATATACCTCTTTATGGAGATTCAAATAATTAAATAATTTGTGAGGAATTTTTATCGATACAGCACTGTCACTCGCGTAGCCACATCGTGCGCTGGTGAATTTGAGAAAATCGCTTCGCCTGAGGCAAGCGAAAAATCGCTCGCTTTAGGCTGACCATATTTTTTCACAAAAAAATCTCGTTTTCAAGCATGCACCTACGATACTGTTGAAAGCGCTCGCATATCCCGGAAATAATCTGTTGACAAAATGTAATGGTACTCCTGGGTTATAGAGGATGACACCTTGGTAATAGTCAGGGGCGGATTTAGGATTTTTGAAAAGAGGGGGCCGGATGTGTCTTGTGTCCAATTGAGGGCCGAAGGCGCGAATTTCCTAGGGGGGTCCGGGGGCATGTTCCCCCTTGAAATTTTGAAATTGAGACCGTCAGAGATGCGATTTCCAGMATTTTRAGTGRCYATGATAATAATTTTTTGGACATTTTTTTGTCTTTTATTTTTATCCATTTTCTAATAACCCTTGATTTTTGGATTAAATTTTAGATAAATTTGAGGCAATTTTTTGTATTCCATTACAAAAGAATGTAACACTCTAGAGCCAGGGTTCGAAAGAAGGAATAATTAGCTAGGTAACCGCGCAAGCACGTGCGAACTCATGCGTAGTCTCCTCGCCATTACTTTTATTTTTATCGTAACAAAAATAGTCTCCTCTGCCCAGAAACAGCAGCAAAGGAGAATTTAACCAACATATTTTTTTTAATATTCTCAATCTGTAATTTGCAACAAGAATGCACCTCATTTTCGTTCTCTTCATTTTTTTTTCATCGGTAAAGGGGGGGCCGCGGCCCCCCCCCCCCCCCCCCAAAATCCGCCCCTGATAGTATTAGATAATTTTGCGGAATTGCACAATAAATGAAATGAATACTAACCCATCCAAGTAAACCTGGCCTTGTTTCACAGAAAAATTTGAAGTCAAATTTTCCAATCGAAGGGTTAAGCTGATGCCCAATGAAAAAATCATACACTGCATTTCCTAGAAATACCAAGATTGAATTTCTTTCATTGGAGGTAAATAATTATTTCATTTTNTGCTCTAGCTCTTCCAGTGATGTTGTAGATACCTCAAAGCTTAGTGGAAACAAGAGCTAAGAAAAATGATTTGCAATGGTTCCTCCTAAGATACATTGGACTTGAACGTCGCTTCAACGACCTTCTGAAGTCTTCGTGAAGTCGGTCATTACTTCGCATGCAATGGAGAACCCGCGTAGAACACAGAACAATTATTTCTATCCGGGAGGGGAGTCTCGTGGTATTAAAGAAAAAGTTATTTGTTTTTTTCATTTTTAAGACAAAATTCTCTTTCTATAACGACAAATATTTGAATGACATTTAAAAGCTATTTTATAAAGATTTTCAATTTCTCTTTGCGTTTTAGCTTCGATTTTTCGGATAGAATAAAATGACAGGCAGCCTACTCCACTGGGTCGAGTTTTGTTGTGCAAATTCCTCCTGTCGGAGGGTTATGTTTACAACATAAGCTTGTCAGCTTTGCGCTGATTGGCTAGTCGCATTTTCTCAAATCACCCAATTATATAGTCTCTTTCAACAGCCGCGACTTCCGGTCTCGTCAAATTTCCTCCCCAAAAGTAACTTTTGGCGAGGAAATTTGACGAGACCGGAAGTCGCGGCTGTTGATAGAGACTACCAGTTATACTGACTAAATAAGATCATAGAGAATAACGTTAAAGAACTATTTATTACATGGGCGCGCGGAGAAACGGATTTTATCTTCGAGTGTTGAAAAGATCTCTCACGAGCAAGCGTAGCAAACGAGTGAGAGATTTTAACACGAAAAGATAAAATCCGTATCTCCAAGCGACAATGTAATATTCTGTTTATCATATGAAAGCAAGTTTTACGGTAAAATACATTTATTTACCCCAAATATACGATATGCCACATATAAATATGTTATTTTTACTCTTGATTATGACTAAACTTCGAAAGTGAGAAATATGAGTATTTCATAGATAATTACATGAGATGAGCTAACTATTACGTCTCTTCACAGCATAATCTATAATATCGTAAATATCGCGAAGAAACTTTATCCTCCCTATCTTTTTTATACTTTTCATCGATGGACTAAAAAACGATTTTTCACTTGCGCAAGCGACGCGATTTTCGGGCACGATGAAAGCTGAGCATCGAATTTGAGCTGTTTTTGGACATGTACCTCTTTATGGAGATTCAAATAATTAAATAATTTGTGAGGATATTTTATCGATACAGCATTGCCACATCGTGCGCTGGTGAATTTGAGAAAATCGCTTCGCCTGAGGCAAGCGAAAAATCGCTCGCTTTAGGCTGACCATATTTTTGCAAAAAAAAACTCGTTTTCAAGCATGCACCTACGATACTGTTGAAAGCGCTCGCATATCCCGGAAATAATCTGTTGACAAAATGTAATGGTACTCCTGGGTTGTAGAGGATGACACCTTGGTAATAGTATTAGATAATTTTGCGTCAAATATTGCACAATAAATGGTATGAATACTAACCCATCCAAGTAAACCTGGCCTTGTTTCACAGAAAAATTTGAAGTCAAATTTTCCAATCGAAGGGTTAAGCTGATGCCCAATGAAAAAATCATACACTGCATTTCCTAGAAATACCAAGATTGGATTTCTTTCATTGGAGGTAAATAATTATTTCATTTTCATCAAGCCTGGTATGCATTATTTATTATTTATTTAATTAATTATTGTGAATTTGTGGATAAAGTGAATAATAATAATTCATAAGTATGAGAAAAGTAATGTAATTACCAGTATTGCTTGCAAGGCATGTCCCTTCAMGCTTGGCCTTGATGTAAACAAAGATGGACACTAGCAAAGACCATATTATTGATGCTGTTATTAGGGACGGCATTTTGTCGTACACTRCATTCAATGGGATCTGTTTTGCTTTCAGTGCGAAAAGACCAGCCATTGTGGCAATGACAGCAAAGAATCCTACACAACAATGATAAATTAGYAACTAAATATAATCCAGGTTTTCAACCAGTACAATACTAGACCTTTATACACAATAATAACAAAAATCAATGAGATAAGAATGCATGAAAAACAATGTTGTGGATTTTTTATAATTTATTGTAATCAGAATGCATATTTAGCCCAGATCACTAGTCAATGTTGGCCATTGCTGGCATTCATATATTAGCACACTTCCATTCAATATTGAGAATGAGGGTGGAAAGGGCCTATATAGACACAATTTTACCCTATTTCTTTGAAGGGAATAATTTGGGGGAGGGTCCTCATACATTTTGTCTCCAATTGTACATGTACCAAATCCAAACCAGAAAATGAAGAACCATTACCATATTTTAATATTGCTGGCACCGCACCCTGACTATGCATGCATTCATTTAATATAGTCAAAACCAAAGATGCATGCCAAATGATGATATCAAAATAAAATTTATAAAATTATCATGGATATAAAGCTGTCAGTGATAATGTGGAGAGTAAGCCTTTTTAAAAGTCTTATCCATATCTTCCTGTATATTAATGTGCATTTTAGGAAGTGAAATACTGGAACCCTACCATTTATTCTGTAAGATTTTCTTGTTCCATCTGGCTGAGTTTGACCTTGGACAACCTATTATTAAATGAAATAATGAGTACACAAGAGAAACAGCAACGTTATTACAAGATGTACTCCTGCATTTACAGTTGAAACTGTACTAGCGTCTATTTTCTAGTAAGCAGACAGCTCAAGATAATTTATATGGACAGCTTTCCAAACCCCTATATTTTTTACATACTCAAAAAGGGAGTTATTAGACTACATTCACACGGTRCCAGTCAAGTTTGAGGACACCTCGGTTTTAGGTCAGTTCCCACTGTTCACACGGAACCATCCAAATCTCGGTACAAATTGAAACATTGTTCCCACGGGGCCTTGCAGCTATAGGAAGTGACCTGTACTCAAAGGGGATCGGCTTTTTAGCTGGCCCCAAACCTGACCACTTTGCCAGCCTCAGATGAGGCCAGTTCCAGAGTTCGAGTTTGAACACTCACCTAAACTAGAACGGTTCCGAACGGAAACGGCCCTGTGTGGACGGGGCATTAYACTTATTCTTTTGTTCTCACTTTTTTAATATCAATTCTATTGGTGCATTAAAACATTTTGAACAAATGAATAAAGACAGAGAATTTAACACTAATTTGCATATATAGTGAGTGCACTCTAGTGCAATTTTATGGTCTTGGGACAATGCCATGAAATATATTGTAGGAAAGCAACAGGAATAGCGATTAAATAAAAACATGCATTTTGCTTCAGCATTTTATTAGGTCCATGTATTTATTTTTTCGCACTTTAGTACTGTGAATAATAGTGTTCTTGTAGATCAAAGTGTTTTCACACTTAGGGCTATTGCAACCGTTCCCCTACCTGTTGAGTACCTGGCTTCTTCAGTACCCTGAAGAATTTGTTAATATTTTGTTGGCCTCACCCTCGAAGAATTTTTAAGATCAAAACATCAAAACCCCTGAAGAATTTTGAGGTCCTCAACATGGGTGTACTGATATCAAATGCAATAGTCCATAATATAGAAATCCTCTTTGCTCCACTGCTCCTCCTTTGCAGCCTAGTCTACCCAGACCTCTAGCCCCACTTATCAGGAGTAGCTTTGCAAATTCGAAGGAATGGGTCTGAATTATCGTTCTTACCTTTCCAATAGGTACAAAGAAMAGCACAAACTGAAAGAGCAGCCAACCATCATAGATAAGATGACCTTCRTCAAACAATTTTCTCCMGTGTGGCAGYTTTAAYGGGTTATTWATGAAAGAACATTTGTTATCTTTGCCATTACAGTAAAAATACATATSATACACCAGAATGGGCAACGCCAACATCATAAAGAATGCTCCAATAGGGCCACCAAATTCAAACTCCTTGGATTTACCCTTGCGTGACTCTTTGAGGTCCTTTTCAAATAAGGCTTYCTTCTCCTCTTTGACCATTGTCTTTGTCGTAGAACGAGTTAGGTGCGTTACCGTTTGCTCAACAACTTCTTTTTGCTTTCTTGGTCGGCCACGTTTGGATGGAGAACTCGGCTTTGATTCTTCATCGTTGTTTTGTAGCTTTCTTGGTCGGCCTCGTTTGGATGGAGAACTTGTCTTACMATCTTCACCGTTGTCGTTTTGTTGTTGCTGGTCCCGTGGTTGACCGGGGGACCTTCCACGGYGAGTGGGACTTTTACGTGGAGACTGCTTTGGTGTGCTAGATCTCCTGGAAGGTGACCGAGATCGAGAACTTCTACGAGTAGACATCGCTACTTCTGGAACCAGCTCTTGGGAACCCAGTGCACTCCCCAAGGTCCCCCAAGGATGCGTTTCATGACTTTTGTTTGGGATCCCTTTGTCATCATGTTATAAAAAGATTTCAAACTGTCCAATCAAATTGTCAGAATGTTTTTATAAACCAATCAGATCACTTCCCGCTTTTTTCGAATCGACGGTTGTAGATTGCTATGATAATCACTCAACGCTTCATCGATCTCGACAATAAAAAAACGTTGTATCCTGTTTTGCGTTTCGTTTTATACCTATAGGAAGCAAAAACATGGTCAAAAAAGAGATCAAAGTGGGAGAAAAGGTTTACGCCAGATGGCCTGGCAGTGTAAAATACTACGAGGCAATTGTGGATGAGGTTTTAGAMGACGAATTCGTTGTATCTTTCATTGAAGGGTCGTTAACAGCTACTCTGGATGAACGGCATGTTTATGTAAGTTATTTACGTCCGCAGTGATATACTTTTTGCTCAACCKCGTATTGGTTTGAGTCCATCAATAAGCTTATTTTTTTAATTTATATTCCCAGCGCCATAGCTATTTCGATTCAGCGCGATCACGCTCTGCTTCCTCTAGTCGAAAGCGAAGTCGTTCACCAGCAAGGCGAAGATCACGATCACGCTCRCCTTCGAGGAGATCAACAAGCACTCCGAAGCAATCTGCACGTAAAAGTCCCACTCGACGTGGAAGATCCCCGGGCCGACCACGCAAGCAGCAAGAAGAACAAGATCAAAGCAATGAAGAAAAGCCCTCRCCAGCGAGACGTGGTCGACCAAGAAAGCAAGATGTCAAAAAACCGCCGGAAAAAACTCCTGCAAAGTCAAAACAAGTTGTTACCGAGCAAACAGTAACGCATCTAACTCGGTCTATGACAAAAACAATGGTCAAGGAGGAGAAGGAGGCCTTGTTCGACAAAGACAAGTTGGAAAAGGAYCTCAAAGAGTCACGCAAGGGCAAATCCAAGGAGTTTGAGTTTGGTGGTCCTGTTGGAGCATTCTTTTCGATGATAGTGATGCCCATTCTGGTGTACGATTTGTACTTCTACTGTAATGGCAAAGATAACAAATGTTCTTTCATAAGTAACCCGTTAAARCTGCCACACTGGAGAAAGTTCTTTGACGAAGGTCATCTTATCTATGATGGKTGGCTTCTCTTTCAATTTCTGCTTTTCTTTGTACCCATTGGAAAGGTAAGAATTCAAATGTACTTTGAATTTCCACATCTAAGGTTTTGCAAACRTGCAGAAAGATCATTGCCTCACCTCCCTGTCCCCTCCTCCTCCACACCCCCATTTAAGTGTCTGACTGGTTGTATATTATAATCTGTGGATGATTTTATAAGTTTGTCTGCTTGCTATCTACAATCATGAAATGAAAAATTCAAATAAATATATTTCGTGTTTAGTAATTTATAATGTCAGGATGCCTGTTGATAGGACAATCTGACCGAAAAATATCCTGATATGTAAGGATTGAGAAACAGCTAAAGGAGTTGATGCCCTCTACCCCAAGGCTTGTACAGACTTAGCAAGAGCATGCAAAAACTATTCTCAGGATGTCTGAAAAACAATAATTGGAAAAAAACAAAACAAATGATTTATTAATTTTAGATTGTTCAAGGTGAAACTCAGCCAGATGGGACAAGAAAATCCTACAGAATGAATGGTAAGTGTATTTAATCAAATAGATGTTTTACATCATTCATAAAAAATTCATCCTCAAATAAATATCTACAGGGTTCGTACAGTCTTAAAGAAGTACTTGAATTTTTGTGCTAGGTGCTTGAAAAGTCCTTGAATTTGGATAAAAGGAACTTGAAAATGATAATTTAGTCCTTGAACCAGTAATGCATTATTAGTGAGTTTTTAAATAAATAACAAAATATTTATCCTTTTTATAGGATTCTTTGCTGTCATTGCCACAATGGCTGGTCTTTTTGCACTGAAAGCAAAACAGATCCCATTGAATGCAGTGTACGAMAAGATGCTGTCCCTGATAACAGCATCAATAATATGGTCTTTGCTAGTSTCCATCTTTGCTTACATCAAGGCCAGACGCGAAGGGACATGTCTTGCAAGCAATACTGGTAATACAATAGAGCAAAAAAAAAAAAGAGATGAAAAATAACACAAGTTATTACTGTAACTTTATCGTATAATTATCTATGAAATACAGTCTATATTTCTCTCTTTTRAACTTAATACATTCAAGGTTTGTCAATTTATTAGAAGTAGATAAAGGTATTTTATGACATAATTTGCTTTCATTTACAATTCACTCATGCAGGCCTCGAAATAACGACCAGACATGTGCAGGACAAAATGTCCTTCCAAATTCATTTTGGAAGGTCATGTCRAATTTTGAGAGGACAAAAACTTTATTATACCATTATTTTCTTTTAATTTAGAGGTTTTTTTATTTAGAAAGATCAACAAGCATCTAAAAATGTTGCAGGTCAATTTGTCCTTTCAAAACCCGATTTGTCCAGTCATCTAGCGAATTTGGAAGGACATTATCCTTTGACTGGCCGTTATTTCGAGCCCTGCTCATGAGAGATCCTTTCAACTCTCTAATCCATATCTTTACTCGTGCATGTAATATCCTCTATGCCATAAATGTTACATGCAAATATAGCTGGCCTTCCATTGACCATGTAATTTCAGTGGGTGATGAGAGGTGGGTATGTAGCAATAAAAAACTCCCATAAAAATGCCATAATTATAGACAGTTTGTTTCTTGGCTTTATAATACTTTATAACCTTTTATGTTCACGAGCAATATTGTAGTCAAACATTTAGATTTGTCATATAATTAATTCAGTTGATTTATGTTTTTTAGGCAATGCTTTGTATGACTTCTATACTGGACATCAACTCAACCCKTCAATTGGAAAGTTTGACTTGAAATTTTTCTTTGGAACAAGGGTGGGCTTTCTTGGATGGGTGAGTTCWTTTTTCCTTTTATTATATTTATATTCCAAACACAAAAGAAAGCACAAGAAAATGTTATTAGTACAATAGCGCTAACAATTTACATTTTTCCCGAGCTGAGGCTAACCCTGTATTCCCAGAAGGCTTGTTCCTTAGGTCTTATGGGAATACAGGGTTCTAAAGTCTCAACTCGGGGGAAATGCAAATTTTCAAGGCTATTATAATAACAACATTTTCTAGTGTTTTTTTGTCAGTCTTTGTGTAAGAGAATCTGTTGTCAAATAAAGCAGCGGTTTTTCTCTATGAATTTGAAACTGGAGTATTAATGAATAAGTGCTAGTTCATAATCAGTAGCACAGTCACATACAGCCAATTTCAAATCTATCACTTGCTCTAAGTCTTGTACTCATCAAATCTAAAGTTCATTAATGCAACGTATTACTGCTGTGATAAACTAATAAGTGTAAATTACGTTACAGACAAGTTGGGGCTCCATGTAACATCTACTTACATGTAGTACTTTTGAGAGAAAAATGTTGATTGCATCACCAGTCATATTATTTTTATCAGGGTCCGTGCAGGTCCTTAAATTCTTGAAAAGTTCTTGAATTGAAAACTCATTTTCAAGGGCACTTGAAACTCCTTGAAAATTTGAAAATTTYGGAAAAAGTCCTTGAAAAGTCCTTGAAAAAGATAGATCACGAAGCGCTAGCGATCTCGGAATTATTCCGTTCGGCTGCAGTTGTGAGGTAAGAATGTATAATTAGCATATGATTAGTCATGATTATGACGTTCATTGAAAATACAATTTTGGTCCTTGAAAAGTCCTTGAAAGGTCCTTAAATTTCGTTTTTGATACTCTGCACGGACCCTGTTTTATACTGGTTATTCTTCTCCCAGAAAAGATAGTATAAAATGAGTATTTAAATTTTTTATTTTTTATTTTGAGTATTTTTATAAACTTATAGTATTTTGAGGTATTTGAAGCAATTTTCTATTTAACTATATTCATGCACTAAGTTGTATGTAATATTATTATCCTATTTCAGATGGTTATCAATTTTTGCATGGCAAATCATCAGTATGAAACAATGCATAAAATATCTCCTGCAATGATGATAGTGTGTTTATTCCAGTTCATATATGTCCTTGATRTCATGATATTTGAGGTCAGTAGAGATAGATAACATCATCGTCATGTTGCCTTGCCTGACTTTGATAGTCATTTTCATCCGTCTGTGAAATTATTAAATACTATTAACCCATATTAGCTCCCAATAGTTTTACTTATGACATGCGACAAACTAATTAATAGGCAAACCTGGTTTTGATTTTGCCTTTTGGTAGCCTACTACACCCTAAAGTAATAAGTTACTATTAAACACTGACTAGTAGTAATTGTTTCACAGACGGATGAAAATGACTTGGTAGTTCATAATTTTTAATGCACTTACATGCAATACCAGTATTAGTAGACTGATAGGCTGTTCGATATTTTTTTTCAGTCATCGATGTTGTCTTCTATGGATTTTAGGCATGATGGTTTTGGTTTCATGTTAGCGTTTGCTTCTCTAAGCTTTCTTCCTTTTGTGTACTCTCTGCAAGCTAGATTTATAGCTGATCATGACGTCCACATCCCTTGGCCGTTYRTTGTAGCAATAGTTGTTTTGAAAGGTAAGAATTTAGCAATATTGCAACTTGACRTTCTGATTGGCTATGACCAAAAAGTGATAAATTTTTAGCAATAAAAACATTTAGTTATTTATATAATACACTCATTTTTTGTCCAACTAGTATGGTAATACTAAAACAATTAGATCTCTGTGACTCATGGGCTATGCGCTCATAGTCCACTTGCCCTCAAGATCTTATTTTTAAGTAGTCCATGAGGCCAAGAGGTCTAATTATTTTAGTATCACCATAATAATGAATGAAATATATAATAACAAAATGTTTTATTGCTAAAAATTCACACTTACAGCTTGACAATATTTTTCTTCATTTGATTGCACATTCTAGTTGTGGGATACATCATCTTCCGTGGTTCAATCCTTCAGAAAGACTATTTTAGGCAACAACCAAATGACCCTGACTTCCAAGGTAATTTGATTGATTGATTAGGACAATCTGTTTGGCTATTACTCCTAATTTGATGGATCGATTGCTGCTGAGTGATTGACATCACCTACAGTATTCAAGTCAAATTACTTGATTGATATGAGATTTTTCCAATCTATTAATATTAATACCTGTATGCCTACATATCAGATAAAGAGACTATCCTCACTCCAAGTGGAAAGAGGCTGATGGTGTTTGGATGGTGGAAGATGGTTCGTCACCCTAACTACCTTGGCGACATCCTGATGGCGATATCCTGGACTCTACCTTGTGGTATGTTGTCAAATAAATATTTAAGGTTGATTAAACTTTGTAGTTTATTGTCGCAATACGATTTACAATANTACATATCAGATAAAGAGACTATCCTCACTCCAAGTGGAAAGAGGCTGATGGTGTTTGGATGGTGGAAGATGGTTCGTCACCCTAACTACCTTGGCGACATCCTGATGGCGATATCCTGGACTCTACCTTGTGGTATGTTGTCAAATAAATATTTAAGGTTGATTAAACTTTGTAGTTTATTGTCGCAATACGATTTACAATAWGTACAACTGCTTTGAATTATATCGTGGGCGCGCGCATGAACATTGTGGGAAAGCTTTCAGAAAACTATATCAGAATCATTCTCAAGCCCAGACCCTCTGTCCCTCTTACTGCGCATTCTTGTCGAAAATATATTTATATGAGAAAAGTATAAACTCTCTGTATGAAAAKAGTTTGTTTTCTTGCACCTGCGATCTTGGAAATCCTTATCGTGATTCTKCTGAATTTTCTCTGTGTGGCTGATATGCACAACAGAATGGCGTTCAAAGAAAATAAAGAAATAAAATGAACAARACTCGCGAAAACATATGYCTTGCTAGTCCTACAGCTGTCGKTGACTGGATGAAATTTTYTCTCATATCCAAAGTTGSTTTCCTCGCGTTACCAAGTTCAAAATATTTTCATTGGATTTTCAGGTTTTACYCATGTTATCCCATGGTTTTATCCGGTGTTTYTGACAATGCTGCTCGTCCACCGTCAACATAGAGACGACGCCYTGTGTCGGAAAAAGCACGGGAAAAGTTACGAAGAGTATTGTCGAAGAGTTCCCTACAGGATCGTACCTTTAGTMTACTAGACAACCATTCATTTTTATCACATAGTTGCCTTATTTTTCTATGACGCCACAACATGTAAAGTGGGGGTTGGATTCGTTCAAAACCATAGCAAGTTGTATTATTTTTTCTTCAGAAGTCGATCTTTGGGTTTGCAGTTTTTCAGATACATTTTTAGTTTTCAGATACATTTTCTGTCAATGATTGCCAGACTTAAGGGCATACCCATGATTCTTCAGTGGGAGCTCCCTGCGTACAATCTCTCACTATGACGTCAATAGGACGTCATGGAAATCGATAGTTTTTAAAGCAAAAGAAGAATGGAATAACTTRCAAACTAATTATCCACCTAAAATATGTTCTACTTTTTGTGATGTGACGTCATCGTAAAATAAGTCAATACTCAGTTTTCGATTTCAAAGCGAAAAAACGCTGTTTAAGCCTTCTGGGAATAGGGTTAGCCTCTTCTCGGGAAAAATCGTTATTCGTTTGCGCTATTGTACAACATTTTCTTGTGCTTTCTTTTGTGTTTTGGTAAGGTCTTAGCGCGTGGCAGGCACTTCTGTAAACAAAAAAACAAAAAAGAACAGGTTATTCGCTTTGAATTCGAAAATAGAGTATTTGTAATCCATTATTTAACCTTTTTTCGTGTATCATTTCTACTCAAAGRTTCATAAAATTGAATCTAAAACTAAAGTGAGAGTTTGAATAAGATTCTTTCTAAAACTAGTTGTAAACTTTTATCTTTCTTAACGTCGTCGAAAGCTTATTTTATCCATCAGTTTTCGTGTGTATACTATTACACTGTAAATAATATATATCATTTGTATAAGTATGCTAGAGTTACAAACATCAAAGTGTGCAACATACGTACTACTAAAATGCTGCTATTTCTATTGGTTTCTAATGTTTAGCTGGCACAATTTTGTACTAGTATAAGTATTGTATGGTATTAGTATTACACACCCGTTAGTCATGTTTGTACTCTAGGTAAGGCCATTGACATATATAAGAAACCAAYGATAGTTTTTTAAAATTGTACTTTTTATCTATAGTAAATCTGGTAACAGTTTCGTGTATATTAAAACGATGTTGTACTGGGAGCCACGGAGCCTTGTGCGTGCTTGAAATATACGGGGACTCTGCGGAGGAATATCATTTGAAGGATTCGCGTTTAACGCAAATCCGTACAAAAGTKAATTGCAACAGTAAACCTCGCTGCAAAATCGGCAACTCCGCAAACAAGCAATGCCTCCGACAGAAATGAGAGCAATACCGAAAACCGATCTCTAATATCGGAGGAATCCGTCCAATCACCAAACTATGATAGGCCACCATATTCCTCGTTTTTTTAGATTTCTTTTTTAAATCCTTGTTCTCAAGAAATTATTCTGCTACAAAAATAGTGACTTGAAGCCTGTTGTTGGCTACAATCGTTGACAAAATTCTTGGACCATTCCAGCGAATTTCCTCATTTTAAGCAACACCAGCAGACAATTTCATCCCCCCAGACCCCYTAAATGCAATGTTGTCATTCATCATRTTACCATAGTACACAAGCATCCAAAACAAGACCCAACATGATGAAAGGGGGCTACGGGGAAAAACTGTGAAAAAATGTTAGGCTGGAGACAAATAATTATACGGTCCAAGGTATTTTGGCAACGATTGTAGCTACTCGGATAAATATCTCGCGACCAGATATCGTTTGTGATCTAGTATGCGATGTGTGTCCTAGGCTGATTTACACGGCACGATTGTTTCGTGCGATTTGTAGTATACGACTTGAATCGTGCAGTGTAAATGCTCCTACGACTTGTCTACAACAGTCGTACGCAACCTACGACTTGTAGTCGGATTTTGAACCACTGCTTAAAATCCTACGACTTGTAGTAGGAAAATCGTATACTACAAGTCGCGCGCGACAAATCGTACCATGTAAATCAGCCTTTACTTGTAAGATGGAACATGGACGTGTGCCCAGAGAAGGTCTTTGAAATGAGACTATTTGCTAAATCAGAGGGTAAATAATTTATTTCGGATAGTCCTCCATTTTGTTCGGTTTTAACCCTTGAAAACAAAACTCGTGCATGCTGCAGCATGGATAATAAAATCACTTTTATTATCCATGGCTGCAGTCAATCGCCCCACAGTCATAGYCTTGGCCGCAGTCAGGCAGCGTGCGACTTCACTGATTCTTCCCCAAAAAACCAGCAACATAGAGACTCCGCTTGTTGGGGTAAAGTAGATCATTTCGTACGATTGTGAACGGCAGACTCGGTCACGGCATATCGCATTGTACTCATGCCACAGAACTGAATACTGCATGTACATGGCGTATGACAAGACAACCTTAATGGTAGTACCGACGCTTTTACTCATGCAGTGGTGGATTTAGGTGAGGGGCCTGGTGCCCCCCTTTTTGGTAAAAATTAAATTCTCGTACATGTTTTTTTAAACAAATTAATCTTCTACTAATGAAAAAGTGAATTAGCTAGTTTCGCTAATTTTAGTGGGAAATTTCTATTTGATCACGTTCCCCAAACTAATCCGTCATGCAAATTTCACGCCAAAAGTTCGCGCTATTTTAGTGCCCTCCCCTRRATCCGCCCCTCAGGGCCTGTCATGTATGTTGTAAACGAACCGTACAAAACGTATTTTCTCTCTTAATCAAGGATTAAGCCGTTTTATGTAAAGCTACGGTAATACAAGCAGCAAAATCGTCCAACTTGTCTTGCAACATTAGGCCTAGTCCGGGACCTAAAATCGCCGTAATTTTGGGCGATTGTAGGCGATTTTAAGCGATTTTAGGCGATTTAAGCAAAAATCACTAAAAACCCATCTAAATCTAAGGCGATTTACTGCGATTTTGGGCGATTTACTGCGATTTTGGGCGATTTACTGCGATTTTAGGTCCAAAAACAAGTTGGAAAGCGATGTTGCGCGTTTTACTACTGGTGAACCAAATTGTCTCGCATCACTAAATAATTTGATGCAGGTTGAGCAATTGGCTTCTGATTGCCCAATGCAGTCAGCTCTGATTCTCGCACCCCGTCATCTTGCCGCGAGACAAAAGTTGGGTTGATGAAGTAATACGGGCAACATCTTCGAGTTTGTTGCAAAAAGTAGAACCATCTTCTACTTTCTGCAGCAAAGTTTTTCAACTTGCAACAAAAAAAAATACTGCGAAAAATGTTGCTCAGGAGCATTTCTAATGCCTGGGTCAAAGTGACCACGCCCAGCTGACTTTAGTAATCTCGTGTAGCAGTGTGGCTTTCGTCTTATGCACCCATCCTCTTTCTTTCAATGCCGTAAACCTTAAATTCTCTCTWCCCCCACCCCYTGAGGAAAATCCTGGAACCGTCACTSAATATTTGTTACTTTAGCATTAATTTAATTACCATGCATTTATTTACAGAAAGATACATTGCGCACTTAATTACTTGTACATTTAACAAATAAATAAGGCTCAGCCGTGGTTTCGCTTTCAGCTCGTGCTTCTTGACATTTTCTTGTGTATTTCAAATACCAAGCGTGCGTTTATCAGAGTATAAACCACAGGCTGAGACTTATTTATTTGTTTTATTATATAGTTTTTGAGCAAAACTCCAGCGCAAAAATCCATTTTGTTGCCTTTTTCAAAAATCGCTCGCGCACAATCGTGGTTTATACTCTCATAAACCACACTTTTTTGGCCAATCAGAGCACGCGTTAGAATTCATCTATATAATTATTTTGAATAATCCCTTGATTTCATTTCAAACTATACATGAATCAGAAACTATGAGGGGAACCGATATGATTCTCAGTCAAAACTGATGCAATATATTACGCATATGAGAAAAAAATCAGTTAAAAACAGATATAACTGATTCACTAGTAATAATACTATTTAGCCATGTATAGCTGGTGTAGTACGATTTGAATGCTATTGAGATTTGTTACAAAAACGGCTATTTTATATCAAGCTTTGGCCATCAATATGACGTCATCCTCTGCAAGCTGACTTTCTATAGAGAACAGTGTAAACTCTTTGTAAGTTTTTGTTTGGACCAGCCACTTAAACCTAACTCGACAATCAGTTTTTTGCCCTTGCTGAAGTTACTCCACTAAGTAACTCCAGGGGAATTGAAAATACTCCTTTGTTGGGTTACCAAGTTACTCTTATTACTCCCATTAGAGTAATTCTACTTAGGTATCTTCAGGT